AGACAGAATGGGAGGCTTGCTGTCCACACAGCAAAAAAGCTGAGTGCACTTGGACAGGAGGCTTGCTGGTGGAGTGGGGTGCACCTAGGTGTACCTGTCATCAGATAAGACCTTTGTAATACTTGTGGGAGCACGGCATCGACCAGGCCCAGAAGCCACGGGCCAGAGAGGTATGCCTGAGGGCATAGCAGAAGGGAGACTGTCCTGATCAAAGAATTGTATCCTGAGAGCGTTCCTGAACCTGAGTTGTAGCCTGTTACTTCCCTGATAAACCCCATCATCGTAAGTATTGTCTGTGAGTTCTGTGTGGCCACCGCAATGAATTATCGAACTCAGCAGAGTAGTGAGTACTGTGCGTGGGACAGTTGGTATCAGAGTTGGTAAAAAGACTGGAGGGTGGTGGCATGTCTGGCCTCAGAAGTAAGCCTGGGACTGTTGATGGTTTATTCTCTCACTCCTCCTGAGGTTGGAGGAGGTCAGAAGAGGATGCCACCCCTTGTCACGTGTCCTCAGTGCCTCCCAGGATGCCTGACTCCTGATAAGTGTTTATTGAAAGAAAAGATGAATGAATGAATGAATGCACAAGCTATTTCATGAAGAACTTATTACAAAAGACAGAGGAAGGGCAAACAGCGTATTGGTTAAATTCCTGGTTTTCTGCCCTGTAAGTCTCTTCTCTGATCTCATTCATAATTTCCTTAACTTGAGGATTTTCTTAAGCGGATTTTGCTTTCAGGAAAGGCTAAAGATTTGAAGGATCCTGGGGAGAAACGTTTGCACTCAGTCAGTTTGTGAGTCTGATAATAGCAGTTATTGATGAAAAGGTGTTGCTAAGGTTGAGTTCAGACTTGAAATGTATTAGGTGATGATTAGTAAATGAATAAATGGATTTTCCAAAGTACACCAGAATGATAATTATTGTTTCCTAATCATTGAAGGGGAGCTCTGGTGGTGTAGTGGATAAGGCATTTAACTGCTAACCAGAAGGTCAGCAGTTCAAACCCACCAGCTGCTCCGTGGAAGGATATTGGGACTGTCTACTTCCATAAAGATTTACAACTTCAGAAACCCACTGGGGATTGCTATGAGTTGGAATCGACTTAATGGCAGTGAATATGAGTTGGAATTGACTCAATGGCAGTGAGTGGATTTTTAGATGTTGTTGAATTTTTGAAAACCATGCTGATGTTCCCATCCCTGTTACCCTGTTGACAATGAAAGTGATGGATAGAGAAGGACAACAAACCTACTCTGGCACCTGCTATTCTCAAGCCTGTGGGCTGATTGGAAGAGGGCTGTTCCACCAGGAGGCCTCTTTGGAGCCAACTTCTGAGCATTAATTTCTTCCACCAGGAGACCAGTAAATGGCCCCTTCCACCCGCTGCCCTCCATATTTGGAATGTGGTTACATCACTGTTGTGCTCCTGCGGGATGAAATTTCTAATGTCTCAAGGAGACAGGAGATGGCATTTCACATTGCAGCTCTGCCAGCTTGTTTGCCTGAACAGTTCACCGCAACCAAATTAAACTTCACACCGTGTCGTTTTCCCCATTTGAAAATTGGTGTGTGGGAGACTTACACTTACGAAGTGTTGGCTTGTTATTCTTTAGCCAGTATCTCAATTGTGGACTAGTGAGATTTCTGGAAAACAACACCAGACGTCCTCAACCCAGCCAGATGAATAAAGAAACTACAGTGCCCTCTGCTGGAGCTTTTGGAAAATACAAGCAACAACGAGGACAGATCCAAAGTCCAAATCCAAAGATAAATAATCCAAAATGTGTGATAATATGAAGAAAGATAAGAGTAATGAAAACATTGTAAGTCGGCATTTTAAGGAGGAAACTACGATTAGATTCTGGGATAGCTGGGTAGTAGTGAGAACTTGCCTTTTTCTGCCACATAAGTGCTGAAGTATTTTTATAGCATTAGATATTCCCATTTGGCAGAAATGATAAAAAAAAAAATGGATTAGAAGACTAGAAATGGGCATTTGAAGTTTTACAAAAACAGAACAGGGATAATGGTTGTACACATTTATCCAGACTAAGGAAGGTGAGGGATGAAGCGGGAAAGCAGCTGGGCGAAGTAGAGAGGGTGCCTGGGCATCCCTTGTCTGCCCGTAACTCGTCGCGGAACCCACCGGGCGCTACTTCCTTCCTTCCGGACGCCGTCGTTTCCTGTGGAACTGGGGCTGAGATTAAATGATAAAATTCCTTACGATGCAAGGGTTCATATTCTAAATCCATAAAGATTGCTATTCTATAAAGTTACTTTTCTTTCCACCATTTCCCCTGAAAATCTTTCTCTTAAAAATCGTGAACATTTGCATCTGTATTTTTAATTTATTATGTAGTTAACAAGCTTTTGCAGGAGCTAGAGCCGTTTGCTATGTTCGGTCCTTAGCAATTAGGTCAAGACTTTGCTCACGCTTAGAATGAGTATGAAAATAAGCACGAGGCTTCTTTTGCATTAAGTGCTCGTCTCCAGGAAGTGGGGTGATCACATCTCTAGGTCTTGGGCTGTCAAAGGAAGGTTGACTAATACACGGGACCATGATTTTGAGTTCAAAATAGTGCAGAGGAAAAAAAAAAAGATTTTTTTTTTTTTAAATAAGAATCCAAACTTTAGCTTGAACCTTATTTCTCTTTGAAGGCTTCCTTGTCTTGCCCACTAGCCATCTGCTCTCTGCTTCCTTTTGACATGGCCCGTACTTCTGAGGTCCTCAGCATATTGCACGGGCCTCCTCTTCCTCTTCTTCACGTACATTTCTTTGTGTTTGTCTCCCTGCTGCCCAAACTATGAGTTTCATTTCTCATGATTCATTCCTGTACCTCACTCAGTAGCGTTTAATACATTTTCCCTGAACTAATTCGAATTTTAACTGGTTATTTTCTGTTATCAGGAGATACCAGTCCCTGGAGAAGGACATCATGTTTGGTAAAGCAGAGGGTCAGCAAAATGGAGGGAGACCCTCAATGAGATGGACTGACACAGTGGCTGGCAAGAGTGGGCTCAAACAGGGCAATGACTGAGAAAATGTTGCAGGACTGGGCAGTGTTTCGTTCTGCTGTACATAGTGTTGCTAGGAGTTGGAACTGACTTGACTACGCCCAACACAGAAAAAACGGGAGCTCTGGTAGCATAGTGGCTAAGGCACTTGACTGCTAACCAGGAGGCTGGCGGTTCAAATCCACCAGCCACTCCTCGGAAGGAAGATGGGGCAATCTACTTCTGTAGTGATACTGCCTCGGAAACCTAAGGAGGGGTTGCTATGAGTTGGGTCCGACATGACGGCACATAACAACAACAAAAAACAACATTTCCTAGAAGGCTTTCAAGTAAATATATGTTTATTCATGTTCATTTTTGTGTGGATAGAAAGTAGGAGGGTAGACCCTTGAAGCTAACGTTCAGCAAAATGGGATGACACAGTAGATTTTGCTGACATTTTCTGTGCTCAGCACGGTAGTCAGGGAGATAATTTGACTTCAAGTCCAGCTCGTGTCCTGTGCAATGATTTCTCTTATCACTGTTTTCAGCTTTTACCCTCTTTCCTCGTTTACAGTAGAGGTCAGTCAGAGTTTTTGCTAGGCAAAAACTGTTCCTTCCTTGTGTTCTTGGAGTACGAGGTTCTTGTAGGGCTTGGCCCCCCATAGTCAGGCAGCATCAGTGCAACTGGACTGCAGGGTGGTGGCTTATTAATGGTGACCTCTGTGTTGCCATCTCCTTGGTCACCTAGATCCAAATCCTGAAGGGCCTGTTTACCTGCAAGGTACAAGGCAAATCTCCACTCACTGGTTTAGATATTCTGCGTCTCTCCAACTACTTTTTTTCAATACAGCTCAGTTCTGCTCTCTCATCCTTTGTCTTCAGAACCACTCAGGCCTTTCCTAAAGAGGGTTTTGCCAGTCACTGCTTCTTCCTTCTTCCTGGTGGGAGAACTTGGAGTGAAGACCCAGTAGCTGTTCTTCTGAAGAAGCCTGCCCCTCCTTCTCATGTGGCTTCTTTCTTTCTCACTTTCCTTGTCAGGAAGCCCAAGGACTCTAACTTGCTCTCTGGGCTCTGCCCCACCTAATGAAAGATCTTGTCCCACGTTTTGCTCTTCCCTTTTGAGACAACCAATTTTTCCTTTCCTTGGTTTCCCAGTGTTCTTGCTGTAAGTTGGTATTTGCTTATATATTTCCTTGAGAGATGATTCATTCATTGCTTTTGGGCTGTGTGCCCTCTTCAGGTTGTTTGGGGTCCTCTGTGTCAGGATGACAGACTGGCAGCCAAGGTGGGAGATGGGTAGGCCAGACATGGTGCCCAGACGTGCACTGATAAACTTGGATACATTTCAAAACATTTCCTGTCCCTTAGAAATGAGCACTTATAATAAAAAAAATAAATAAATAAAAATAAATAAATAAGGCGGGTTTTGAGCTTCTCTTTGAATGGTGGAAGAACTAGAAACATGCATGGCACATTTGCCAGCGGGCAGCAGCTGGAGCTGTGTCTGCACTGCCCCTCTATTTGGGGCATGCCATATCCTCTTCACTTGAGTATCCCTTGTCCCCTTGTTCTTTTTATAGTCAACCACTGTATTAACCTGCCGTCCCCAGCGGCACGTGTGTTTGTGATGCTGGATCTGTATTTTCATTATGATTTGCTTTTCTCTTTCCCACTTAACATGAGCGACTCCTCAAGGACTGCAATTTAGCTTGTAGTTAATAGTTCACTGAAATGGAAGGTACTTGAGCGACCATCCAGAGGAGCCCATTGTCTTCATTTAATCTGGGTTTCCCTGGAGTGGGTCCTTACTAAATTTTGACAAACGGCATGTGAGTCTGTCTCTGGGAAGGTAGCAGATGACTAAAAGAGACCAATGATAGACATCCTGTGAAAATTTCCCTGGCTCTGTTAGGTAGTCTTGATGCTGAGTCAAGCTAGTTAGAATGACCAGTTCTCCCAAGAAGGCAGTGCTCTCTGGTAATTTGACTTTTCTTCTTTTTTCTAGGAATCCTCTTCATAAATCCAACTCAGAAGACAGCTCTGTAGGTCAGTACCACTTTTCCTGGCTTAACAATCTAAATAATTATTTTCTTTTCGTGCTTTGCAGAAAACAAGTATTTGAAAATATGAAATTCACAAGGAGTTCTTTCACCCAGAAATGAACACTGTTGAGATTTTTATGTACAACTTTCCTCCCTCTCTCTCTCTTTTAGCATGTATGGTATTGATTTTTTTTTTCCTTTTTTTTCAAGCATAATTGGAATCATACTCACTTTATAATTTTTTTCAATTGCATGTGTCATAAACATTTTTCCACATGATTAGATATCTGTAGTATAATTTTTGAGTGTATTAGTCATCATATTGGACTTGCCATAGTGGAATCAACTAATCTCTTTTTTGTCAGATAATTTGTTTCTGATTTTTTTCACTATCACAGATGAATGATGGTGCTGTAAAAATCCTTGTGTTTATTCCTCATCACGTCCTTAGGATGAATCTGTAGATTTGCAATTTTTGGGTCAAAGATTATACTCCATTAAAGCATGACATAAGAAGCTATGGTGGTGCAGTAGTTAAACACTCAGCCACTAACTGAAAGCTCAGGGGTCTGAACCCACCAGCTGTTCCATGGGAGAAAGATGAGGCAGTGTGCTTCCATGAAGGTTACTTCCTTGGAAACCCTGTGGGATGGTTCAGCCCTATCTTGTAGGATCATTATGGGTTGTAATCGTCTTGACTGCAAGGTTTTTTTTTTGTTGTTTTTGTTGTTTTAAGGCATTGTTTTGGTTACCTAGTGCCACTCTGACAGGAATGTACCACAATGGGATGGCTTTACCACACAGGAGTTTATTCCTATAATTAGGAGGCTTTAAGTCCGAGTTCAAGGTGCCAGGCTCTTGGGGCTGGGTGAAAGCCCTTTGACCTTGGACTTCAGCTCTGCCTCCTGCTCCTGGCCCACCGAAGCTAGAGGCTTTTCTTCACTCAGATAGCAGCTGGCTGCTGAGACCAACAAGCCCAAGGTTGACAAGTAAAAAGGCTCAGTCCCAATGCTACCAAACCACATGGCAGGCCATTAATTCAAGTCCATTAAAAGTCCCAAGATTGGCAGAGCATGGCAGGCTGCTGAACAACGACTCAGCTACACACAGGGTTCAAGCGTGCTATAAGCTAGAGACCATTCCCAAGGCTGCTGCTTGTATACAGGAAGTGGACCACATCCCTAAAGCAGCTACTCACCTGCTTGTGGCAGTTCCCACCATGGAGTCGATTGCCAGTCTCATCATGGGGAATAACTACCACCAGCTCTCCAGCCACTCAAGCAGGCTCAGCCAAGCTGACATACAACCTTACCTACCAAAGGCATTACATATTTTTACACGTCCTTAATTGATCATTGATTAATAACAGCATGTTAAAATTTTCCTTTGTATTTCTTTCTATTTAAAAAAATATTTTGTTGTGGAGAGTATGTACAGCAGAACACAGTGATGCAGCGATGTCTGTTTGTGTCATTCATTGACACTGGTCACATTCCATTACTTGTGCAGCCACTCTCGTGCTCTTCTTTTGAGTTGTCCTCCCAGCCCTTAACATAAACTCCCCCCACCCAAGCTTCCTGTTTAATTTTTTGTGTTCCTGTCATCACTTTGATCCCATATAGACAGCTCCTAAAAGAGTCCAATGCTCAAGGCAGGCATTTTTTTTAAAAGGTTAAACTAGACTATTGTTTGGTTATGAGAAGACGTCAGGGCATCTTTTTGATTTAAAGTTTAAAGATGACCTCAGAGCAATAGTTTCAGGGGTTCATCTACCCACCATGGCTCCATAAGTGCTGAATTCCATGAGAATTTGACATTCTATTCTGCATTTTTCCCCTTCTGATGAGCATTCTTCTTCAGAATCTTCCATCAAATCATACAGTAATGGCAGCTGGGCACCACCCCAAGACCAGTTCTTCTGGTCTCCAGGCCTTTGCAATTGTTCATGGAGGCAGTTAGCCTTATGTTCCATGTCTTCCTGTCCTTGACACTCCTCCTCCTTCTATTGCTCCAGGCGAAGGGAGACAGATTGTTGTGACTTGGATGGCCATTTGCAAGCTTTTAAGACCCCAGGCACTCTGCAACAGAGTAGGAGGTAGAAAAGAAGCACTAAACCCCTTATTAGACCAATTAACTGGGATGTCTTATGAAACCATGACCCTAAGCACCAAACCCAGGAACCAAATCTCGTGAGGTTTTGGGTTGTGGTTGAAAATAAGCAGCCTCAGTTGCTATCTTTTTATTTGTTTATTTTGTCATTGTTGTAAATATATCTATCATACAATGTTTGGCATATAACCCATTGAGAACTATTACGGTCATTGGCTGTGCAGCCCTACCTTTACTCATTGCAGTTTTTCCTTCCAGTGTTTCTGTTAGGTAAGAAGGTGGATGGGGGAAGCCTGGCAAGGTTAGGAGTTCAAGCTCTCAAATTGGGCTGCCTGGGCCGGAATTATGACTCTATCAACTTAATAGTTACAACCTTGTTGTTGTTGTTGTTGTTATGTGCCGTCGAGTCGGCCCCGACTCATAGCGACCCCTCCTTGGGTTTCCGAGGCAGTATCACTACGGAAGTAGGATTGCCCAACCTTCCTTCCGAGGAGTGACTGGTGGGTTTGAACCGCCAGCCTTCTGGTTAGCAGTCAAGTGCTTTAGCCACTATGCTACCAGAGCTCCTTAGGGGGAGTGATTCATCTCTCTTGGCCTCAGTTTTCTCATCTACTAAATGGGAACAATAATACCTCATACATTCATTGTGAGTATTCATTGAGATATGCCATTGGATAGGAAAGTGTCTAGATATTAGAAGTGCCAAGTAAATGTTTGCTATTAGCATTGATTTTTAAGCTCTATCTCTGTTTCAGAAACATGAAAATGAAAGAGGTGGGGGCAACAGCTTGTATTCCAAGAAATGTGCTAGATTCCCAAAGTGCTCCAGAGAAACGCTGAACAAGTTAGAATCCTCCTTCTGTTGTAACCCTTGGTGGCTAGTGTTTGCTTCAGTGTTTAGCCCACAGGCAGCAGGCGCCATCACACTGTCTTCAGGACCCTGAGAACTTCGGAAGTCTCAGACTACCCAGCTCTAGTTTCATTCTCATAGCTCTGGAGCTGTCAGAACGTCAGCGAGTGCATCCTGTTTTGACAAATGATACCCTTTCCAGCCAGGGAGCACCCTGGAAGGGTTTCCACATGTCTGCTTCATGCAGCAGCACTTGGCACCGCCAGTCTAGACTGTGGACACCAACATGCATCTCTCCCCAAGGCCCTGTTTCTAGTGGTGTCGGAGCAACCAGACGCCACATGGTAACTCAGCCTGATGTTTGTCTCTAAAGAACAGAGGACGGCTGCTAGCTGTTCTTTTCACTTATTGCCCCCTTTTCCTTTCATTTTTTAAAAGCTGTTACGTATTATTGATGACCAGACCCCAACCACATATTAAAAACGTCTGGTTGCAGCAGTGAATTTGTTTTCACTTGAAAGTCACCCAGGTCAGTCTGGGAAGGAAGGCAGGGGTAGGGGCAGAGCCAGGGGGGGTTGGGGCTGTCACGGCAGGATGAGAGACTGCTTCTCTTGTCATTGTGCTTTGGGCGGGCCATAGGTAGGTCACCAGGTAGCCTGAATGCCAGAGAGGCAGAAGTCCTGGCCCTCCATGGCATCTGCAAACCACAGAGAAGCAGCCCCGGTAAACCCCATGGAATCATGGAACCAGTTGTGTTGGCCTGTTGACCAGGGCCCACAACATACCAGCTGTACTGTCCTCTTCATTCAATCTGGAGTAACAGAAATAAGCCAAGCGTAGGTCAACAGCAGCAGTCACACAAAAACGGGAGGGACAAAACGAAGTTCACTTCTTACGGTATCCTCTTTGAGGTGTCATTGAAATGATGGTGGCTGAGACCAAAAGGGAAAACACAGCACCAAACAGAGCAGAATTAGGCCTGCTAGTTAAACAAACTTCAAAGAAAAGGCAAGAAAGCGCGTCCGCCTGCCTTTTGATGTCTCTCTCTCTCTCTCTCTCTCATTGTAACCCCACTGTACCATTTCTCTGGAACAGGAAATTTGCATTTCTTTTAAACATTTTTTTTTTTTTTTTTTTTTCTTTCTTTCTGTAGACATTTCTCAGCCTTTCCAAAAGAGGAAGAATTGTCTTCTTTTGTGAAATCAAAGTATTTTTACCAACTTTGAATGATAAGGGAGAGGCTACTTGTGTTATTAATGAATTTATTACTTGTGCCTTTTCTTCTCTCTCTCTCTCTCTCTCTTTTTTTTTTTTTTTTAAGGAAAAGGAGATTGGAAGAAGAAAAATAAGTATTTCTGGCAGAACTTCCGAAAGAACCAGAAAGGAATAATGAGACAGACTTCAAAAGGTACAGTAATGAAGCTGGCAGACAGTAGAGCCTTTTAGCTCTGACATGTTCAGAAGCCTGTACCACTAACTTGAATGGAGGCTACAAGTTAGAATGACTCATTCCATGTGCCCGTAAAATGTTCGACTTTTCCAGGATTCCTGTCATTGCTTTAAGACTGCATCCCAGTGCTTTTTTAATTTTTAAATCAAAGAAAACAAAATCGAAAGAGTTAGCCATCTATTATTTCCTAGAGCTGACAAACAAAGACCAGTCTCGCATTTTCTGTCCCCCTAACTTCAGAAAGATCTTCACTCTTACACCATCAGATCTAACCAGAAAGAAAGAGTGTGGAGAGTGTAAGCATTTCTGTTAGTTTGGAACCTTCCCCCCATTCCCTCACCATCTCTGGGGTCCCCTGGAATCATCTGAACTTTTGATGCTCTTTTGTGGCCAGAACAATCTCAGGGCTGTTGCCCCTGGAAACTCTGTCCAGTGGTCCTGACCTCATGGGAGGTTGGCCAGGCTGCTTTGTGAAGGGTGTTCTCCCCTCCCCTCGGCTGGGCCTTTTGTTGTTGTTTATATAGTAAGTAAACATGCCTCCATTTGAGGCCCAGTTATATAATTTATGTTTCACCAGTGTTCAGAGAAGAAACCAAAGCAAAGCCAGTCCAGATTGTAGACCAGCTGAATGGGGATATCATCAGAGGAAAATTGTGACTTGTTCACCAGTGGCATGATGGGTCTTCCATTACAAAACCTTTATGTCCTTCCCTGTTCACAATGCTTCTCCAATTGCTTATACACATGGAAGGTGGAAAGACATACCCCCTGTATACCTGGGTACCTTGGCAACACTCCCCGTGGATATTTTTTTTAAGTTGTCCTAAGTTAAGGGAGTTATTCTTAAACAATCTCAGTTGTCCCTTTTGGTACATGCCCGGGATCATTTGTGATTCAAAATAAACCTTGGATTCTAACAAAGTCTTATTTAGAAAGGGAGAGAGGGGGAGAAAAGAGAAGGCGGGAGGAAGTGAGGGAGCAAGGGAGGGAAAGAGGAAGGCAACAATTTAGCAGCTCTCGGGGATGTTTAAAAACCCAGCCAAGTCTCTCTCAGCCCCTCCACTACTGGAAGTGATACAGACAGTGAAATGAATCAAACCAGCAAGCTTGCCTTCTCACCCGGCACACACTGTTTTTCTTCCTGAACAGTTAGATGAGTGGCAGAGGGAACTCGAGTGGTATTTTGGGACTGATGGATTACAAATGCAGAGGAGAAAAGGAGACACCGGGACATAAATTCCAAGATAGGTCCTGAGAGAAAGGGGCTCCTCGCCGGCTGCAGCAGCCTCTGCACACTGCCCCCGTACACCACGGGTGGATTAAGCCGTCGCTGAGCATCCTAATGACATCAGGAGGGAGTGAAGTGTGTGTGAGAAAGGCAGGGCTGAGGGAGAAGGATGAGGGCCTAGAACTCAGGCTTATTCCCACTCAGCATATCACAGCACACTTTCCCTGACAGATTCTTCCCCATGCGACGACCCAAGATGCAACTGGCCAACGTGGCTCAAATATATTAGAGGTGATGGCAATCTGTTTGCTTTGCAGGAAAACACTTTAGAAAGAAGCTCACAAGAGAATTCTTGTTTCCTTTCAGTTCTGGCTGCCTTTACTTTCAAGTTGGAAACTCATATCTCTTACAGTTTAGAGGCATATTTATGACAAGAATACTTTCAGATGCCTGCGTGGATGTTACCTTCCTTTCACTGAACTCGAAACACTCCACATCTGTGATTTTATTTATTTGAACTCATCCTCTGATGAACAGTGGCCTCATAAGAGTGTAGAGTTTGACCAGGCACGAGGTTTTGTTTCGCACTGAACTGTGGCCTTCCTCTCCTGCAAAAATATTTGTTTCTCTTTCATACAACTAGAAAGATGTTGAGACCCCTCAGCCTAATGATCCTTGCAATGGTTGTCAGATGTATTTAGGTATTTACATTAGGTCTGTGCCCCACCTGTAACTTAGGAACTGCCCATCAGCATTCTTCCAAAATGCCTCTCCTAGATCCTCCATCACAAAACTGTGCTCGTTTGGAAAGGTCTGTTTTTATTGTAGCATTTGTGTGTTCTTGGAGCCTCTGTCCCAAATTAGATTAACTCATTGGCTTTCTGTGGTCGCTGGGTGGCACGAACGGTTAAGAGATGGGCTACTAACCAAAAAGTTGATAGTTCAAACCTGCTCAGAGATGCTTCAAAAGAAACTCCTGGAGATTTGCCTTGGGGAGGCCGTAGCCATGAAAACACTATGGAGTGCAGATCTGCTCCAAACACATGGGTTGCCACGAGTTGGAACCAGCTCACCATCAACTGCTTCCTCCAGAGAGCATTGCTGCTGCTGCTCCATCAGAAGCACAGAGCCCAGAACCACGTCCTGCTCCAGCCCCCAATGACAGACTCTTACGACTGGCATTCTGTTTCCTCTTCATCATTTTGCTTCCATTATTCTGTATCTTCTGTCTCTAGGAGAAGATGTTGGTTATGTTGCAAGTGAGATAACAATGAGTGATGAAGAGCGGATTCAACTCATGATGATGGTCAAAGAGAAGATGATCACCATTGAGGAAGCACTTGCTAGGGTGAGTTTACAAATATTTGGTAGACATCTGGGACTACTTGACCTCCTTACACTTAAAAATGTTTGGGACTCAATCCATATACCTGTGGTTAACTAGGAGCCCTGGTGGTGCAGTGGTTAAGTGCTCATCTGCTATCTAAAAGGTCAGTTATTTGAATGTACCAGCTGCTCCATAGGACAAAGATGTGGCAATCTGCTTCCATAAAGATTACAGCTTTGGAAACCCTATGGGGCAGTTCCACTCTGTCCTGTAGGGTCGCTGCAAGTCAGAATTCACTCAACAGCAATGGGTATGGGTATATGAACTGATTTTTGACAAGGGTGATGCTAAGTCCATTAAATGAGGGAAGAAATGAATGGTCTCTTCAACAAATGGTGCTGGTGAAATTGAATTTCTGCATGCAGAAAAATAAAAATAGTTTAGATTATTAAAAGCTATAAAACCAAAAAAAAAACAAACTCACGGTCATTGAGTTGATTCCAACTCATAGTGACTCCCATTGGGTTTCCAAGGCAGTAAATCTTTATGGAAGCAGACTGCACCATCTTTCTTCTTCCATGAAGCAGCTGGTAGGGTTGAACCACTGACCTTTTGGTTAACAGCCAAATGCCATCAAAGACTATAGAATATATTATTTAAAGTGGTATTTTAATGATACTTTGGTGACCAGTATATACCCAAATTATGAGCTGTGATCTCTAGTCTGTTCTTTTTAGTTAGTGCAAGGATTCTACCTTGTGAAGTGAGATTTCCATGTTCAGGGAATGAGTAAATGAATGCAGCAGGTGCGGGTATTTTTGATCTGTGGGCCACATCAATGAGCAAAAAGCGCCCGTGACTGCCATTGCAAAATTCATAAGCTTTGTGAAAATGTTGATAAGAATGTAATAAATGACACACAATAGTACAGGAAGCTTAAATACCTTTTACGATAAACCTTACAAACAAGACTTGTGCAGGATGCATTGCAAACTAAACTTTGAATAACCAGAAGGTTAAATGTTAGATAAACCCTATAATTTTACCTAATTTATTACTAAGTAGATACGAATTATTGTCTGTGTGTCATTTTGCAACTTTGTTTTGCTCTGAGTTACATCACGCACTACAAGAAGTTGAATTAACCTCTAAGACCCTGGGATAGCATGTATGGTAGGGAGGCAGCAATTTATTGAGAGATTTCCTGGTTTGATGTTGACTCTTGGATTGTCACTTTTAACAGCGATTCAGTACAGTGTAGCCAAGTCTAAGTTAGGCTTGTCTAGAAGTTAATGAACACTTTCAAATCACCACAGAACCATTGAATGAGTCAGACTTTACCATGAAGTAGGATCTTGAAGGTCTAAACAGGATCTTAAAGGTTGAAACAGTGACAAGCAAAGTCTAGTCTAGTATACCTGACTCTAAACCTCAGTAGTTTAAAAAAAAAAAAAAAGTTGTTTGTTGCTGAGTCAGTGTTCTCCTGCAGAATGAAAAAGCCCTTGCTGTTTGTCATGAACTTGACTGCTCTTTTGGCATTGTGACCTTTTCTTAAAGCCAGGTGTCTTACATCAGTCAGATTCCCTAGAAGCAGAGCCTGAGTTGGGGATTTTTGGACAAGTGATTTATTGAAGGAAGGCTCTCCAGAGAAACCTCTAAGTGAGGGGAGGGTAGCAGGAGAAGGCAGAAGAAGGAGCCAGATAGACGTGGGATCGGAGAGGCCCAGCCTGAGACTGATCCCACAGGGAGTGACGTGCTCTGGAGGTTGGATTGCACTGCACTAATTTGCCCTGCTATAGCAGAGGAAGCTAAGAGCTGATTGGGGTGGGGGAGCAGCTCTTAGGCATCTCCTGGGGGGACAGACCTTGTGAGCCATGAGCAATACTTTAGAGCAGGGTGTAAGTGTGAGCCCGTACCTGCAACCCAGGAGTAGGGAGCAAATGGGTGATCAGGCTTGTATAGGGACTCTGGGCATCTGGTATACCAGAGTACAGCCTATGCACTGGGAACCTATGTGCATTATTGAACCATTTCCTTGTAGCAGCTATTGTGCGTGAATCACAGAGATCCAGGCACATAAAGAGGCCTATGTTGAACACTCACTGGAGGAGAACAAAGTGATGGAGGACAATTTTAATAGGTCCCATGAGGAGACGTGGGAAAGGATTTATTTCAGAGAAGAAGCAGAAATGAACTTAATCACGTCAAGTATACGAAGGGCTCTTAAACAGGATGTACTGAAGAGTGTTTTGCTTTGTTTTAATCTCTACACAGTGCAGAACAGGTGGAAATAAATTTAAATGGCAGCTTCAGGGGATGTAGACTAGGCACATTATAAATGTTCTTTTCAATAAGCAGTAGTAGATATTGGAACATTATAGAGTATATCTCCCTACCAGTCTTTAAAATAGGAAACATGTTTATCTGCTAAGAATGGCCATCCCTCTAAGAATCATGCCATGGACCTCAACTCGGAGAAAACGGTGAGCCCGGGGAAAACAGGAGGAGTATTTCCTCCTGAGACACCCACACACAGATACTTTGACATGCCATTATTTAAAAACTTCTGGAATTAAACTTCATTAAGCTTACTTTAAAATCTATAAATTCTCAAGTGGAAATCATAAGTTGTCAAGTCTTTATGAAATAATAATTTAAAGAAAAATTTTGTTAGAACGAAGTGGAATATAAAAAATGTAATCAAATATGTAATTACCAAGTTGGCATTTCCCCGTAAAGTACACTGCTAGAAAATTTTAGACATCCTATTTTGTAATTTTGAAAACACAAAGCATTTTGAAATTAGGATAATTAAAAAGTGGTTATTAGGTGGCAACGGCCCAATGGGGGACAGAATATGAATTTACATCGGCAAAAGCACACGGACTTTTAGGAACCAAAGTCGATGGTGGAGACGGACAGGGAGCAGAAGAAAAAGATGAAGTCTGTTTATGGTTGTGTCTAGTTTCATTAAAGAGGAAGCTTATTTAGAAATTTCTGGAATTGGGGCTGAGGGAGTAGAGGAGACCTGGAGAAGACAAGTGAGAATCCCGTGAATCCAACTGGCAGTGATTCCCAGCCCTACGAAGAGAATGTAGCATTTCAAAAGCCAGTATATTCAAATGGAAAGAGCATTCTCGTACATGGCATAAATACACTATCGATTACGGCAATATCTGTGCCCTTAACGTATTGCTGCTGCTGCTGTTAGATGCTGTTGAGTTGGCTCTGACTCAGCAACCCTCTGCAAACAGAACAAAACACTGTTCAGTCCTGCAATTAAGATGATACTTGTCCTCTTAACACCAAAAGTTGAAACACCTGCAGCTTGTGTTACCTTTGCGCTCTCATGTGTCTGAAACCACAAGGTGATGCTAGTAATACTATAATAGTAACTCTGTTGTGGAGATTGAGTGTGCTAAGAGCTTTGCTACATACTCTTATTTAATTATGATAGCAACCCTGTGTGATAGATTTTATTATCACCCCCCATTTTCCAGGTAGAGAAACTGAGGCACAGAGTAATTAAGTGATTTGCACAAGGGCTCCGAGCTGGAATTTGGTTTCTGTCCCTAAGTTCTAAATCATTGATCAATACTGTCTGCCTCCTCCTGGTCATTTCCTGGAATATATATGTGTAGAAAAGAATTTCATGGGTAGAAACAACAGGAAAATGACTTTATCCTGGAGGCATGATTGTGGGTATGATGGTTTTGCCACAGCTCGTGTAGTGCTAGTGGCCAAGAACTGTCCTGATCCTACCACGTGAGCTATCAGCCTAGATATTTTCTGCTTTTTTAGTTGTTTTGGTTCATGGAATATGATTTGTTCAAAGCTCTATCTAACTTCACATATACAAGATGCTTTATGATTAGAATTTAATGCAGTGACATCTTACTGTTATTAAGTTAGAGAGTTAAATCCTGTGCATTTAATAGAAACACACACAAGACTTCTCACATATGCCTTCACCTAATTCTGCCAAGTTAAATTTGCAGACTTCTCTGTAACATTTCATTTGCTTTTCTATGTTTTTTAAAAACTAGAAACCTAGTTTCTAAAACCAAAGATTAAACACCTCTGAAGATGGTGTAGGTATCTTGTTATCTTCCTTCCAGTCCTAAAGACTTCCCAATAAACCCCATCATATTTATTAGGTGATAACATTGAACTGGTGACTTCAAGCTCTCTTGAACAAGAAAAGCAAGTGATTTTTAAAAATAAGTTCTAAGCTTCCATCTCACTTTTACTAAAATGTCTATAGTCTGCCATATTGTGTCTTCTGAAAATGGCGTGTGTGTTTGTGAGTCACACACATGAAGAGGTAGTTCACAGGCCAAACTACAGACATTTTCTATTTTTTGAACTTATAATTGAACTGAGAAAGATGATTTTTAATGCTGGAGGTCAGATAATAACAGAAAGGGGAGAAATGAAGAGCTTTTTAGAACACAGAATACAAAGAGAGCTTTGTGTCTGTTGGTTTGATTTAGATTAAAACTCACAGGACTGGGAATGTATCTTCCTCTCAACTTTTGTTAGTTTGGCTGCTAATAGAAACCACTTAGTCATACCCACACTGGTATGAAGAAGGTGCCCAAAGCTGTGTGCTGCCCTTGGTAGATGGTACTCGGCCATTATTTCCATTTCAAGTGTCTCTTCGTTGCAGCTCAAGGAGTATGAGGCCCAGCACCGGCAGTCAGCTGCACTGGATCCTGCCGACTGGCCAGACGGTTCATACCCTTCATTCGATGGCTCATCAAACTGCAACGTAAGTTGGCCATTTCTTTGAGTCTTAACTATTTTTACTAATGAGGGAAAGCCTATGTGAGTTCAGCCTTTAGAATTCTTTTCACCTATAATTGTGTTTATGTCATGTTATGACCTTCCTTAGTCATCCTCGGAGCTCTGGTGGCACACTGTCTAAGGCACTTGACTGCTAACCAGAAGGCTGGCGGTTCAAACCCACCAGCCACTCCTCAGAAGGAAGGTTGGACAATCTACTTCTGTAGTGATACTGCCTCGGAAACCCAAGGAGGGGTCACTGTGAGTCAGATCTGACTCGATGGCAGTATGTTTGGTTTTGGCCCTTCATTCTTTCCACAAATATTTGCTGGACACCTTGTTAGGGGACCTGGGAGCACAATGGTGAAATGCTTGGTTGCTAACGGAGAGATCTCTGGCTTGAACCTGCTAGTGGTTCCAAGGGAGAAAAGACCTGGCCTTCTGGTCCTGTAAAGAGTACAGCCTAGGAAACCCTATGGGGCAGCTTTACCCTGTCCCAGGGGTCGCTATGAGTCAGAATCTGCCTGGCAGCACTTACCAACAACAAAGTAATGAGGTCAAGGTTGCTGTTTTAATGTGACCACAATAGTTCTTCTCAAACTAGGAGTTCCAATTATACACTTCATGGTGTCCTGATCAAACTGTGTTGACCAGGAAGGGAGAGACAATCCTTTTTCACATATTCTGTGGACTGTTTTATCCGTCAAATTTGGAAGCAGTTCTATCTCCCTGTTTGCAGCTCTTGTCTCTTCCTAGCCATGCCCCATTTAGCCACCAGTCATCATTGTGCATCTTTCAAGGTGAAATCCAACTGCCACCTCCTTTGTGATACTTCCTTAACCTCGAGTGCAGTTTATTGCTCTGTATTCTTCGCCCTCCCCCACTTGTAGTGAATATATCAACGTTTGCCATTTCAACATTGTTATATGTGCAATTTAGTGACAGTAATTGTGTTCATCATGTGGTATAACTATCACCTTTTACATCAACCTGAACAGCTGCTTTCTGTTCTTCATTTTGACTCAATTAGTTTTGTGAAAGCTAGTTATCCTAGATTATTAGAATTAATTGCATGTATTTTCAGTTATCATAGACTGTTAGAATTTGTTGTATATATTTTGGTTTCCTTGAAAATAGCAAGCTTCCTGAGCAAGAAAGGGATGCTGGGTTACCTTCGTGTTTCCACGAGAGGCCAGTTCATGTGGTGTGTTTGAGAAATGTTTGAAGAACAAAATTGTGTTTGGATGTTCATCCTTTGTGGTTTCTTTAAGAGTAAGAGTGTGGGCTATGCCTTGTTAATCACAGACTTGGTCTTTACTTTCCTTTGTACCTCAGCAACAGTGGTGGTTTATCAGAAGTAAATATAACCTCCCCACTACCACCTTGTCCTTATTTTCCTGAAAGAAGCATCACACTTCTTTGCAACTAAAAGCAAAGGATTATTAACTTGAAAACCCTGCCTGGTATGCTTTTGTGTGAAGGAGATATTATTACCATTTATAATAATCAACGTGTCATGTGCTCGCCAGCAGTGTACCTTGCTGGGACTATGAGGTAATCAAAAGAACCATGTCCAGGTCATTCAATGTGCCTTGTTAAGTCTCTTATCTCCAGGTCTTAAAGATCAACATAATAGAAATGTAAATCCTGAGCCTAAAGAATCATGAAGAATGAGTACAGTAACTCAGGGCTGATGTGATTCAAACCCAACTCGGAGGGGAAAAAACAAAGACCCGATTGTCCATAGTGGGTACTTTAACATCAGACTCACTGTATCCTGTCCTGATTAATAACATCTGAGTCAAGAGAGTGCTTATGAGACTGTCCATTCAGAGAAGCAGGACTATAGCAAACACTCACACACTTAGATTGCAAGGAGAAAGGCTTGTCTCACTTAGGAACAAGTGAAGACAAATTGAGAACTATTGACAGTTTGAACAAACCACCATGAAAGCATTTTTAGGTGTTAGTTTGTTGGATCTCTTTCAGAGGATAAATCAGAACCATCACTGCATATAAGTTATCAGAATGAGATGGGTGTTTCTTAAGTGTTGGATATTACATCTCTTTATTATTATTATTGTTTTATGGTGGTAAATAAGTATACGTATATAAAACGGAATTTGCCGACTCAATGTTTTTACGTGCGCCTTTCAGTGACATTGATTATATTCATTGTGCTGTGCAAACGTCCCCTCAGTCTGTTCCCAAATTATTCCACCACCATTAACAGAGATTTCGTGTCTCCTGAGCAAAGACTTGCTGTTTCCATCTCCTTCCCACCCCTGGTAACCACTGATAATCTTTGGTCTTTATGCATTTGCCTATTTCATGTAAGTGGAATCGGAATATTTATCCTTTTGTAACCAACTTATCTCACTCAACGTAACGTTTCCAAGGCTCCTCTCGGTAGTGGCATGCATCAGGTCTTCAGTTCTCTTTATGACTGAGTAGTACTCCACTAGATGTAAAAATGTCACATTTTGTTTATCCTTTCATCCGTTGATGGGCACTTGGGTTGTTTCCACATGTTGGCAGTTGTGAGCAGTGCTGCAGTGGATGTTGATATACAAGCATTTTATTCTCTGCCGCATTTCTTTGTTCATTTAGGAGACATTGCTGTGTAGTGCTAGAGGTTCAGGATGTAAAATGAAAGAGGAAGAAAGACAGGCCCTGCCCAGGCAGAGTCAACACTTTAATAAAAACCCGTTGACATCAAGTCGATTCTGACTCATAACAGCCCTATGGGACAGAATAGAACTGTCCCACAGAGTTCCAAGGACTACAGGTCTTCATGGATGCAGATTGGCATGTCTTCTATGGAGCAGCTAGTGGGTTTGAACCACTGACCTTTCAATTACCAGCCAAGCGCTTAACCACTGCACCATCAGGGTTCCTTAGCACTTCAATGCAGAGGTTAAAATCAGGGTAGTTTCACACACATTCATGCCTCCCCCCATCACGACTTGACTGCCTCATATATATTTATATTATTAACTTCTTAACAAATTACTTCCCCAAAGATGGCCAAAAAAGAAATTCAACCTGTTAGAGGAGGGCTAGGAATAGTTATGTTCCCTGCACTTATAGCACCGTCTACCAGAAGCTCTGAAGAGTGACTTCTGATTTTGCTCAGAGCTGCAGGTGAGGACAACGAGGAAAAGAGAGGTCCACAGCTGTACTGTTTACTCTTTGTATTCTCCTAGTGGACTTTCTGCAGACACACTCACCCACTTCCAGTCCTGCTGCTGAATGCTATGACTGACTACCATTGTCCCTGCAGTTTCCTTGAACTTGATTGTAATCCTAATGCATATGGAATTTGTCCTTCTTCTCCTGACTTTTAGCCCATCTTGTGTTTTTACAGAGTCCCTGGATTCAGTACAAGAGACCTCTGGTGACATAGTGGTTAAAACATTCAGCTGCTAACCCAAAGGTCAGCAGTTCAAACCCACCAGCTGCTCTGTGGGAGATTGATAAGGCAGTCTACTTGCATAAAGATTTATAGCCTTGGAAACTCTATGGGGCAGAACACTGTGTCCTCTAGGGTCACTGTGAGTTGGAATCAAGTTGAAGGCAGTGGGTTTGGGTGGCACAGTTAAAGTGATCAACTGCTAACCAAGAGCTTGGGGATCTGAGGCCACCCAGAGGCACCTTGGAGGAAAGGCCTGCCTGTCTACTTCCCAAAAATCAGCCTTCAAGTATCCTGTGGAGCGAAGTTCTATTCTGAGACACACGGGGTCGCTGTGAGTTGGAGTCAGCTGTACAACCCTGGTTTCCGTGTCTTGTATGAAGACTCAGCAAGAAACCCTATCCAGAACATTTGCTCTCGTTCTAGATTTGCATCCAAAGTGGAGCAATTAATTTCAGATAATTACTAATGTGTCTTACTTCAGCTGCCAAGGGTTGGGCGTCTTGATTATCTTTTGTGCCAAGGCCAGAATTTTTCAATTTTTGTCTATTCCCTTCTATGCTGAGATGTAGATAGCACATATACTGGCTCTAGTTGGGAATGGCCAGGCCATGAGAGTCTCGGGGTCATAAGGCCTTTGTCAGCAGACCTCAATGCCTGTATTGATGCTTGTCCGGCTTTAGGGTTTCATTTGCATTGATTTCATAGACTTCCCTACCCCCATAACTGACGTTAGATAATTGCGTGCTGCCTAACAATAAATCCATACTCTCATTCTTAGTTTCCAAGAGTGTAAAGTCCTAAAGATAGTTACCAGGGGAAGTGAAAAATAGCTTTCTGCTTGCCAGAGGAGAATCTGTTCTCTACTGTCTGTTTTTCATTAATAATAAATTTCTGTTGTGAGTGTTGGAGTTTTAGAAAGGATTTTGGGTTGAGCCCATAACTTGATTCCTTGTTAAATATCTGAATGTTTATTTGAATATTGTTCATTTTGGTGATTTTTTTTTTTTTTTTTTTCCATTTGCCTCCTGCAGGGGGAAGCTCTTATTTTGAAGTTTGCAACTTTGTGCCTTGGGGTTCAGTTTACCTTTGAGTTAGGACAGTGTTTAAGGAAATCATCCTCTCTGTCTTACTGGGTTTTTCTAATTTTTTAATTTTTAATAGATTTTACTCAAGGCACAGCTTTCAGTAAATCTTAGTTTTTACAAAACTGGTGGGTATGAGTTGACCTGCTGCTTAAATATTAATGAGGATGCTTGCACTGATGGATCTTTCTAAAAATGTCCAATTGCTAGTATTTCATTATCATATGATTTAAATTATGTTAAAAGTATATAATTTATAAAGAAAAATTAAAGTAATGACAACAGAAACAACACACCAGAGTCCCTCACAAACACCGGTTTGGGTGCTGCCTAGTTGCTCCACTTCACTAAAGTGTGTTCCAGAAAACCTTGGAATCCTGTCTGGATCTGGATCTTCTTATTAGCTGAGGCAACTATGGTGCAATATTTCGCCGAGTGAGTTATTTTGTGGGTCATAGTTTCACTGTTGATCACTTTCACACTTGGGAA